TAACTCATTTCCATGTAGATATATATTTATGCAGGGTTGAAAATATTATATGAAATATCTTCTGCAATGAATTGATGTCAGCGAATACCCTGTAGGCTCGAAATATATTCAAAATCTTGGTAAATATAAAAGTGACCCATAGAAGTGATTATTAATCAATATTGTTTAATTGACCACGAAATCTCGCTTTTTCAATTTCAATCAGTAGATATATATAGTAGTGTGACTTCTTGATTTGCTTAAATAACAGAGTATGTAACTATTGCATATTTCGGCCATTATGCTATACAAATATTTTACATATCTATGGAGTATCTATAAATCGACCGCCGCAAAAATATATTTATTTTAATTTTTTGCTCATACAAATATATGAAACTTAAACATATTAATTATTATTTATCACAATATTTTGTTATATATTTTAGATAAAATATTTATATGCTTCATAACTTAATTCAACATATTCTAAGTTTCTTTCAAACTAATTAATAATACGAGGAAAAAAACAAATGCATTTTGTACCCAGAAGAGGTCTTACATATATAACCTCTCTAAATTGAATTAAAAGTCAACATATGAAAATTTGACAATTGATCGAATTTCTTCTCAAAGGTCTATAACTAACAGAACAACTAATTCATAATGTATTCAGCATTCTTGTTTCAATTGCCATTTAGCTTAAGTATTAATACTATTCAAAGCTTATATGTCATGCCTTATTGGTATTTTATTTCACCAACTTCCATCCTTAGCTTTGAACTCCGTTCGAGTTCAGCGCGTAGTCCTGTTGAAAATATTTGATCTTAGTATTAAAATGAAGTTATTTTGATTTTCATCGGCTCACTTTGTACAACCAACTGTCGTCGCCAACTAAGGATTCATCAATACCACAGGCTGACACTTGAGAGTTCTGGCCAGGCGATTTGGTGAATCAAGTTGAAACGTAAAAGAGCCCAAGCCAAACTCATTGAGCTGCAACTGGTAACCCAATACTGAACATCGAGACAACAGCAAATTGAGCAGAAAACCAGAAGGCGCCAGTGCCAGCCGCTGGTCAATCTTGAACCCTTGACCGGTATTTTGACACTTGCCGCTGGTAAACAACAGTTATTAAAGCTTATAATGAATATGAGCAACAGCACGAAGGTCGTGCTCAACAGTGAAGTCTTTCAAGTTTCAAGAATCCCAGAGTCCTGCAACTAGCGTAGTATTTTTTCGAATTATTAATTTCTTCTGAGAAATTCTGCTTAAAGAGTTATTAAGCAAAGAACAAGACTTAAGCTTGCTTTCACTTTTCATACTTAACCAAGGGGTTTGTGTGGGGTCGAAGCTAAGTATATCCCATTAAAGATCAAACATAAGTCGTTTACTCTGACTATCATTCGATATTAAATGAAGTTGTCAACATTGCTGTGATCCGATAAATATACAGATTTTTTAATGATATGTAGACATAGACATTAGAGGTTAAATATCTTAGATAATGTTCTATAGTTTAGTTGCCTAATAGCACTTTTATACCATGAACATTTATATTGAATGAAAATTCTGGAGATATTATATTGTTATTATATTATATTCAAATGTACGTCTCCAATTAATTTTTTTATTTTTTGGTAACTCCAGCTTCAATTATATGGAGCTGAGGAGATAATGATTAAGCTGAATTCTTTGTTAAGAGAATTTAGTTAAAAAAGAAAACTCAAAGTTGTATTTTCTTTTTTTTGTTTGAGCAGAGAGTGTCTGGTGTCCAGGAAGTTGTTTAGCTAGAGGACTGTTATTTTTAATTTCATTTTTCAAACGTCCCTTTGATATTTGCATGGTACATTAACACCCTCCTCATTTATCTCATCGACTGACTGATGAACTGACGAACCCTGGACTGAAAATTTGATATGCCTTCTGCCCTATTCTAGGTGGATGGCGAGTGGGTGGGAGTGCTTTAATTTTATTTGCACACAAATGCGCGTCAATTTTAAGAAACATTTTGACGTCTCATCGTGTTGCTGTTTCTTTTTTGTGGCCAATGCAAATAACATTCATTATAAATTTTTAATTATATCACCGGACTAACGAGGCCAACCCAAAAGCCCCCAAAAAAGTTTATTTTTTTCGCGTTTTTTTCTTAGTATCCAACCTTAAAAAATGTCAAGCCACATTTGACAATGATGAATCTGCTGTGGAAGCAACCCTCAAAAAAAAAAACGATACAGCGGGAGGAAAGAAAACTCAGCTGATAAACTGATTATGCACATCAATTGAGCTGTACTCTTCATTTGGCGTGCTATGCGCTGCTCACGGCAATTGTTTTGTGAAAATTAAATTCTCTTTTGTGTCTCATATTGCATTGTAAGTGAGCCCCGCGACCAGGCACAGACCAACAAACCAGCAGCAAAGCTGCCTGGCTTTCTAATTACAAATAGGTAAAAAGGCAAATGCTTTGCGGCTTTGTGCACCTGCTGCCAAAGCAGATAGAAATTATGAAAGCTGCGAGGTGGGCTGGGGCCCTAAATTGGCAAAGGTATTTGTTAAAATTATTATTGGACTTAATTATGCCAAGAGGGGATGTATCTCTAGAAACAAAGAATGTAATATGAACAGAAGCCAAACTGGAGCGGGCCAGCAAGGCGCGGTAAACAATGCTTCAAAATTTGAAGAAAACAACGGGCAAGGAACTTAATGTACTTTACTGTATTTCTTATTTATTAATTACGAACTTAAATTGGAATGAAATGTAGACTTCTGTGGGCGCCTGCAAAGACCAATCCACATAAATAAATATAAATATAAATATATATACATAAATATGTATCTAATTTCCCAATAATAACTATTTCGCAATGATTTCTTCTATAGTTTGACTGATAATATATTTGCCAATGCCCAGTCCCATATAGGATTATATTTGTTTAGAGCCAATGTCAAGAGTGAATATCTTCCGCTAGCTGCGGTCCATTAGTGCTGCATGCAGTCGCGTGTGTGCGAGAGTAAAAGATTTGTGGTTTTTGTACTGTACAATGGCCGTCCGGAGGCATAGTAGACAGTGTTGCCAGTATTACATTTCTCATTTATTTGGTTAACCTATTTTTCGTGCACAATACGAAAATGCCGAAACAAATATTTAATCTGAAAGAGCAGACTGGGACTGGGACTGGCACTGGGTATAGATTGCACACAGCTCTTGCTGATGTTAATCAAACAACAATAACAGACATTCTCATAGATGTTAACACCGATTGGGCCACACTACAGAACGCATATATACATATATAGATAGATATATATATATATATATATATATATATACATGCACACACTCGAAATCAGGGCTCTTTTCAGATTAACTGTGCGCCTCCGTGCACACTCAGCACGCCTCTCGCATTGTGATACGCCTCTTGTCAACGCTAAGCAGCGTGCGAGGATTACTCTGTAGTACGTACGAGGATGGCATTCTTTTGCAGCCCCTAGCAGATAATGCTCGCATGTCCTTTGTATAATTGGTTGTGACACATGCGAATCACTCTCGCACACATACATGCACACACGCACGCACACTCATGCAGCTATTTATTTGCCGACGGTTGTAATTGCGACCCGGCTAAGAGTAAGCCTACAAATATTTTTACGTATTTCTTTGGGTATTTAATGCTTCAATTAATTTTTGATTTAAGTGCTTCGCCCTGTGTCTTAGCTGTCAGCTGCCTTGTATCTATCACACACGTTTAGAGCACAGCAGGTTGTCTTATTTCCCTTGTCTAAGACAGCTTGATAATTGTGTAGCTTAGATAATAGTAGGCGCAACGATGACAAAGTAGTTCATGTAGCCAAATACACGAACAATGGAAAACAACGAAGAACAATTGTGCTACAGATATGTAGCAAATAAGTCGTACTGCTCCTTATGTTATAAACAATGCATTATTAAACTTATTTCACAAGAAGCAGCACGACTTGACCGAATGCAACAAATGGAGTACTCTGACAGCGCATCATGGCTTTACTCTTATTTAAAAGTTTACTCATTCAGTCTCGAGACACTGCAAATTCACTGCTTTACGATCGGTATTCTGGCAGCTTTTTAATCAATATATAGAATAAAAAAATATAGTTTATATACATTCAAATCGTCATTTTACTTGTTAAGAATTTTGATACGTTCATTAACAAAGTCAATCAAATATTCTGTGAGTACGCTGCTGGCATACAAATAGCTTTAGGATTAGTATTACACTTTAACTATTCCAGATTCTGCTTGATAACTAATTTTTATTGTATTAAAATATCAATTTAACTAAATTTTCAGCTAATTTTCAAATGTGATTTATTTTAATTATTACCCAGATAATTATTTATATTTCATAGAATATTTTTTAAACATATTATCTAATACATAGATCCATTTGTAGAGCAATTAAACAGTGCTTCATCTGTTTTAAGCCTTAAGACTAAATATTATCAGTCGAGAGCACATTTCAATAGAGGGACAATCGAAGAGACTAGCTGACAGACATTGAAAAATACTTAGGTCTGAACAATAATATAATCTTTCCAATATACTTAGTATAACGTAAGCATGTGTGATAACTGTATATAGACAATTTATATATATAATATGATTGTTATATATAAATATCTGTATCAATTCTTGAATGCATTCATTGACAAGCAAGAATATTATAATCATATGAAATCCAGTATAACGTGAGTAAAAACCATTAATTAAATATCTGTTTGAATAAGGAAGTATTGGAAATCATAAGTCAAATAGACAATGTATTTATTTACATATCATTTTAAAGTTTTTACGCAAAAAGCGTCAATACAAATTGTTTACTATTCTCAATTCTGCGAATTATTTTTAAAATGTGTTTTTTTTTCCTCACAAGCTTATGAAACCGCTTCGCAATACGAAACCGCTGATAATGGCATCATCATTATAACAATTGTCAGCTGCCAACGCGCTGAGATAAGCCGACATTGACTCACGAGCATTAGCGCTTTGAGACAGTTTCAATTATACATTCAGACAGTTAACACGTACCGCTAAGAATTGTCTAAAATGAAATTATTATTGCTCGGCGTGTTGGGCGTGCTGAGCATTGCAAATAGCAATGCGAGCCTCGTTTGCTATTACGAGTCAACTTCGTATTTTCGTCAGGGCTTAGCTAAGCTGGACGCTAACAGCTTGGAGCTGGCACTGCAGTTCTGCTCTCACCTGGTCTACGGCTATGTTGGCCTCAAGCCAGGCACCCATGAGGTGTTTAGCTTGAATGTCGATCTGGATATGTTTCACTTCAAGGACATAACTCAGCTGCGTGCCAAATATCCCCAGCTAAAAGTGCTCTTGAGTGTGGGCGGGGATCGAGATGTGGATGACCTGCATCCCAACAAATATCTGGAATTGCTGGAAGCAAATCGCACTGAACAACAGAACTTTATCGATAGCAGCATGGTGCTGTTGCGTAAAAATGGCTTCGATGGCTTGGATTTGGCATTTCAATTCCCCAAAAACAAGCCGAGAAAAGTGCACGGAACCATTGGCAGCTACTGGAAAAAGTTTAAGAAACTATTTACTGGGGACTTTGTTGTCGATCCATTGGCGGATCAGCACAAAGATCAGTTCACTGACTTTGCAAGACACCTAAGTGCAGCCTATCGAAGTGCCAATTTGATGCTAACATTGACGGTGCTGCCCAATGTCAACTCCACTTGTAAGTTGCCAAATATAATTGAAGATAGTCCGAATTGCAAAATATTTCTCTATTCCAGGGTACTTCGATGTGCCAAAGCTACATCCCTTGATGAACTTTATTAATCTGGCAGCATTCGATTTCTATACGCCCTTGCGCAATCCCGAGGAGGCAGACTACACTGCTCCGATCATGTTTCTGGATGAGCAGCAGCGGCTGCCTCATCTCAATATTGACTTCCAGCTAAACTACTGGTTGCAGCATCAGTGTCCGCCACATAAAATAAACCTGGGCATTGCCACCTATGGCCGTGTTTGGCGCCTATCCAAGGACTCCGGCCTGAGTGGAGCTCCAGTTGTGCAGGGCACCATGGGAACAGGCGATGGTGGGCTACAAATTGGCAGCACTGAAGGCTTGCTCAGCTGGCCGGAGATTTGTTCAAAGCTACCTCTAAATCAGACGGCCATCTATCGAGGTGCGAATGCACCGCTGCGAAAAGTCACAGATCTTACGCAGAAATATGGAAACTATGCGCTGCGTCCGGCTGATGAGCAGGGCGAACACGGCCTGTGGGTGAGCTACGATGATCCCGACTTTGCGGGCATTAAGGCCGTATATGCCAAGAACAAGGGTCTCGGCGGCGTGGCCTTGTTCGATCTGAGCTACGACGACTTTCGAGGTCTTTGCACGGGCCAGAAGTTTCCGATTGTGCGTTCAGTTAAATATTTTCTAGGTTAGATTATTGCTTTTCTCTTAGCGAATTTCGTAATTTTAATTCTAATCAGCTAACTTGTTTCAATGCTTCAACTTCTGGCCTCGCCGTCTGAATCGGCTCAATAACTTTGCTTACGCAATGAAACTATTCTAAGAGCCCATGTAAAACAATAATAATAATAAAAATAAAACTTGTTTTATACTCGACTTGCTCTCTTTATATTTCCGAGCTCGGCCAGTAAACAAACGTTGCTGTTGTGTGCTTCTCTCTAGGCAAGCTTTTGGTGTCGTCATCGTCTGTCGACAGCTTCACTTCTCGCTTGTCGTTTTCGGTTTCCATTTCAGCTTCAGTTCGATTTCATTTAAACATCGCTGCGGTCGTGCTATATTGTCTAATAAGTATTTTCTTGTATAGTGCCTAGCATGAAGCAGTTCTATTTACTTTCGTTTTTAACGGGCTACCTTGTTACGGTGACAACGGCAGCATCTAACTTAGTATGCTACTATGATTCATCGAGCTATACGCGCGAGGGTAAGACTTCAAAGCACCAGCTAACATATTCACGCATTTATATTTAATAGCTAAATCAATTCAAATTTCAATGTCAACGTTGGACAATATTGTCACGCTGCTAGACTTTAAATTCGAACTACAAATAATTCAAAATATGAAAGACGTGTTAAGTCATTTTATTAGGTATAGTTCACACTTTCACTATTAGTGGAAACACATGTTAGAACTTTTTTGTAAATAAATAATATTAAAATAATAACTTGTTCTAGAAGTTATGACACTTTTTGAGCTTTTGTTGTTTTATGAAAATTTCAAAAATTATAAATACTTAATTGAATTTAAATTTTTATTTGATTTATATGAATTTAATTATCAGCCAATTGATAACTATTTTGCATATTCCAATTTATATAGACTCTCACTGTTTATATATATTTGCTTTTAATCTATGTATATTAAATACATAATCGCGCGTAACAGTAAAGCTGAAGAGCATTTGTGATTGTCGTCAATAATGTAAAATACAAATGTTGATTAGGCAATAAAAACTGCCAGGAGGCACACTTCACTTTTCACTTTACATATAATATATTGGCATACATAATATATTGGCATATGTTACGAATGGGATTTTTACTTAATTAACAAGCTAGACCGTAAGCGTATCGAGAGTCTGACAGTTAGTTGAGTTGAGTCCAGAGGTCAATGGCTTATCAGTTGAGTGGCGCTCTGCACTCTACGTTCTGCGCTCTGCGCTCTGCGCTCTGCCTTACTTGTGTGTTCTCTCAATGTTGTAAAGCGCAAAGCGTAGTTTTCGCAGCATTTGGCAAAATATTTAAAGGCAAGCAATTGAGAGCAAGGTTAGCTGACAAACTTACCGACAACAAAATATATAACAATCGCGATCAGTCGTTCGACCTGTAAAGACGTGAATTCGAACAGCCTTCGCTTAAGCTCTACTGCTGCAGAGTTCTAAAAATAGAACTTTGCGGTGCATTCTTCAACGCAACAGCAACAAAAACCGCACACGCAGCGTTTTCTTATCGCTTGCTTCCGCGTAACTCAATTGCTTTAATTGCAATTTACGAAATTTCGTCGCTTGGCGCGAGTGCGCCTGCACTCAAAAGCACAATCCGCGATGACATCTAATGTCAATAACCTCGCTACAGCTGTAAAGGTAAATGCAGAAATGCAAGCCCAGCTTAACGTTGTGATGGCAAATAGGCAAGCCTCCATCATGCCAATAAACTCAAAAATAGATATCGCCTCCGTGCAAGGCATCACTAACAACAAAAACACGAAACGTAAACAGCCAAATTCACCAAAAACCATCAAGAAAAGGCTCATCTTCGACGAACCAAGCACCAGCAATGCAGCATTAATATCAGAAAATCGATTTTCACTGCTCGTAGAAGAAGATGAAGACTACAGCGAATCACCTGTAGCTCCAGAAGCCCCAGTATTGACCGACCAGCAAACTACTCCGAAACCTCGTCCGCCCCCCATATGGTGTCCAAACATCAAGTCTGTGGCCCTACTTCAACAGATAATAGATAAAGTAATTGATGCTAAATCATACGTAATTAAGCCAAAGAAGAATAACATAGGTGTATTAACCCAATGCAGTGAGGACTATCGCAGAGTTATAGACCACTTTACTAAGCTGGAATTGGAGTTCCACTGCTACCAGCTTAAGGAGGACAAACCATATAGAGTCGTGTTCAAAGGGCTTCACTCCAGCACTGATACAACACTAATTAAAAAGGAATTGGAAACCAAAGGCCACACAATTACAAATGTGCACAACCCACTGAGCCGTATGGACAAAACACCGCTAAATATATTTTTTGTTGACGTGGCTCAGGCCCCCAACAACAAAGAAATTTTGGACATTCGAGTTGTCTGCAGGCAACGCTGCACAGTGGAACTGCCAAGAAGATACAACGACCTGACACAATGCCATCGCTGTCAAGAATTTGGACACACACAACGCTACTGCCACAAAGCTCCCAGATGTGTGCGTTGCGCCGGGAAACACGCATCCAAAGACTGCACCCGCGAAAAGGACCAGGCACCAACTTGTGTGCACTGTGAGTTACAGCACCCAGCCAACTATAAGGGCTGCCAAGTATACAAGCGGTTGCGCAAATTGCAATCCCCAGCACAAAAAAGGAGTCCCACACAAACACCGTCTACGGGTCCGAGTACTGCTTCCGAAATTACAAGGCCCCGGAGCATTACCCAAGCCACGAGCTTTGCAACGCCTATTAGTGGTGTTTCTTACGCACAGGCCGCTAGAGGTGGACCGTCAAATAAGAATACCACAAGTGACACTTTGTTCACTGAAATGCTTCAGCAACAACAACGTCAGTTTGACGCAATTAATGCCGAGCTCAAAGCGATGCGAGAAGTACAATCCCAACAAGCAACCATGCTAAACAGTTTAATGGCCATCATAACCAAGCTTGCCTACAAATAATGGCTTTACGTGTGGGTATCTGGAACGCCAATGGCCTGAGAAACAAGACTCAGGAACTGGCTGCGTTTCTCTCACAAGAAAACATAGATATAATGTTAATAACAGAAACTCATGAGTGCCCCACTACACAAATTTTCGGATACGAACACTATCAGGCTCATGGTGAAGGAGCAAACTGCTTTGGTGGATCCTCAATCCTCATACGAGCAACAATACCGCATACACCTTTACTGCCAATTTGCAACGCAACAATGCAGGTCTCAGCCATCACCCTGCCTACGTCTATTGGAGCGATCGAAGTTGCGTCAATTTATCTTCCGCCAAACACTGGTCTGTGTGATCATCACATGGAACAGGTTCTAGGCCAAAGGTTGAATAAGACCCTCATCGGCGGCGACTGGAATGGATGGCACCCATTTTGGGGAAGCAATAGTGCGAATCGTCGCGGAGAAGTCATATTTGAGGCGATTCAAAACTTACAATTCAGCATATTGGCGACTGGAGCCCCCACCCGTTACCCAATTAATGGACACAGGCCCTCGGCAATCGACTTCGCTGTCTACAAAGGCATCTGTGACCGGCAATTGACCATTGAAGAATCCTTGGACCTATCCTCTGACCACCTGCCACTAATAGTCACAATCCACGCGCAGCCACAGCCCTTGCCCATTAGGAAACAACTACTGCCAGCAGGATCAGATTTAGGAGTCTTTAGGCGCGAGCTCCATTACTCTTTGCACATAGAAATGGAACTTAACACTCCTGAAGACGTGGACTACGCAGCAAACAAACTGCAGGAAGAAATAGTCAAAGCTGCGCACCAAGCCGCCCCACCATCTTGCCAAACAAGACAACAGTCTCCGTACAACATCCCCCTCACCTTGGAGGCCCAACACCTACTAATACACAAAAGATGGGCCAGGAGACGCTGGTTAAGATTACGCACGCCTGATGCCAAATCCATGTACAACGAAGCCACGAGGCATCTTAAAGCTGCTCTCGCCCTGCTTCAAAAGAGGTGTATCAGCGATGCGCTGGTACGAGCTGAATCGCCCACTGACGCAGAGTTTCAATTATGGAAATTTACAAGAAAGCTCAAACGGCAGCCAATACGACGTCATCCCATTCGGAGCATTTCTGGTTCCTGGCACATTGGAGACGAAGCTCAAGCTGAGGCTTTTGCAAACCACCTTCAAGACCAATTCACGCCGGTGATTACCGCAGAGGCCTCAGAAATCGAAGCAACAGAAGACATCGTTCTCTCGCCCCTCCCAGCTGAAGACCAGATAACTGGATGTACAAAAGAAGAGGTTCTTGAACACATCAGAAGAGTGAAGGCAAAAAAATCCCCTGGATATGATCTAATAAACGGCAGAGTCCTTAGAGCACTGCCTGACTCCACCATAGACTACATAACTATGGTGTACAACGCCATGCTCCGCATCCGGCACTTTCCAGCCTGCTGGAAGCGCGCCGTGATTGTGATGATTCCTAAGCCTGGCAAACCCGTGGGAGAAATTGAGTCGTACAGACCAATTAGCCTGTTGCCAGTACTCTCCAAAATATTCGAAAGAATATTTCTGGAACGAGTACTGACACATCTGGGACGCCAGGAGGCCATTCCAAACCATCAGTTTGGCTTCAGGAGACAGCATGGAACACCGGAACAGGTTCACAGAGTTGTGCACCATATCCTTGGAGCCTTTGAAGAAAAGATGTACTGCTCTGCCGTCTTTTTAGACATCAAACAGGCGTTTGATCGAGTTTGGCACCTGGGACTGCTGCAGAAAGTGAGGACCACCCTTCCAGCCCCATTTTTCGCGTTGCTATCCTCATACCTTATTGGAAGAACCTTCCAAGTGTCAAGGGGGCAAACAGTATCCTTGACTAGACCAATTATGGCTGGAGTACCACAGGGTAGTGTTCTAGGCCCAACACTTTATACTTTATTCACAGGAGATATGCCAACTCCCGAGCCAAATATAGGAAGTACAGATGCAGTACTCATAGCGACCTATGCAGATGACACCGCCATCTTATCACGTCACGTATCTGCGCAAGAAGCTTCAGACTCACTACAAAAATATCTGGACTCTTTCGGACGCTGGGCAAAACGGTGGTGTATCACCATTAATGCACAAAAGTCTGTACATACTACCTTCGCCACTAGAAGAGGAGATTGCCCAAGCGTTGCATTGGGGCCCACTATTCCCAAAGCCTCAAAAGTAAAGTACCTTGGTATCACTCTTGACAGAAGGCTGACTTTTAAAGCGCACATAAGTCAAGTAACCTCAAAATGCAAAAGCAAGCTAAAAACCCTCGACTGGATGCTGAGAGCTTCAAGCAAGTTGTCTTACAGCAGCAAGGCCGCCATCTACAAGGCAATAGTTGTCCCAACCTTCGTATATGGTATCTCTCTATGGGGCTCCTCGGCGAAGACTACAAGGAACAAAATTCAGACCCTGCAGAATAAAGCACTACGCAGATGGACTGGAGCCAGCTGGTTTGTAAGAAACTCAGTCTTACATAGGGATTTAGCAATTCCCACAGTTGCTGAACTCATTGGGCGACACAGTTCAAGATACGCGGACAGACTTGCAGCGCATCCTAACCATCTCGCAAGCAACCTGGCTATAAACAACAATAGGCGAAGACTGAAGAGATTGCATCCTCTAGACAATATTAGAACTAATTAAGATAGTAGCTACAAGTGCAGAATAATTGGCATATCTGCCCTCCCATTAGTTAAGGTTTAGAGCTAAATGCGCTATAGAGTCTAAGACAATAAGCTGCAACAAAATAAAGAAATAAAAACGAAAATTTGCTCTACTGAGGCAAACGCACAGTGAGCGCGCCCATGAAGAGTGACATTCCTTCGCTTACAAAAAAAAAAAAAAAAAAAAAAAATATATAAAATCGTAATCCACTCATGACAGTTATTCAAAAAAACACAGCAGCTACGCGTCTTACACAAAATCCACGCGCTCGAAATCAAAAGCTGAGTGTACAACTCGCTGCGAGTCCAACGCGACAACTGCCCCAGCAACATTTCTCCGTTGGAGACCCAACAAGTGACTAACATTGTGACGCAGCTATGAACAGTGGAACAAAATTAAAGCAATCAAAATATAGTAGATTTATGAAAACCGAAAACCGTAGAGAGCAACTGTAGAGCCTGAATTGAAAACAATCTTTGAAAATAATAATTAAAACTGTTTCAAATATTAAAAACTTTTCAAAATAAACAAAAATTGTATTCAAATAAATTCTATATCATACTCACATATCATATAACTATGTTTATTTATTTATTTCTTTTCATTTTTCATTTCTCTTGGACAACTGTTTTTCCCATTAAGTGAATAATAAACATCTCCAAGTATAAATTCAACAAGATTTTTGTTGTTGTTGAACGCTTGCTCTTAATTGAGTTCACAGTGGACACTTATCGCATATAGAGTGGACAATGGGAAAATTGTATTGTTTTTCTGGCAAATGTCATTCTTACTTAAGTAATTCAAATCGAATCAACTGACCTGGTAGACTAAACAGCTGCTTAAACTTTATATTACAACATATATATATATATATATTATATATATATATATATATATATATATATATATATATATATATATATATATATATATATATAATATACCCGACTATCACTCGATCTATATATATTTATTTCTATTAAAAGCGAGAGATTTCAGAGTTTCATATGCAAAAAGTACACAGCTCCAATTTGTACCATTTCTGAGAACTGGGCAGAGTATTCCATCAATAAAACTACGCATGACTTCTATATGTTCAGCTTGTTCAGACCATATTTATTACGAGATATTGAAGGAATATAAACAAGTTTGTTCCGAGTACAACTTACGGGAAGAAGTGATTCACATTTCAAGTCAAGCTTCGGGTCTCGAATAATATGTAAGCTAAAGTCTAATTATAAACAAGTAAAATTATTTTGGCAGGGAGTGTTCTGCTATGAAATACCCTCACCGCATGCCGACAAATGTTTCCTGATAGATAAAAAAATATTACTCATACTTACTTTTATCGAAATCCTATTCTCATTGCAGGCTTGGGCAAGCTCTTAAATCCGGACTTGGAGATCGCTTTGCAGTTCTGTTCGCATTTGGTTTACGGATATCTGGGCATTCGCGGTGACAACTATCAAGCGTACAGCTTGAATGAAAACTTAGACATCTATAAACATCAATTTTCGGAAGTAACTGCTTTCAAACGAAAGTTTCCACACCTTAAAGTTCTGCTTAGCGTGGGTGGTGATCATGACATCGATGTGGAACACCCAAACAAATACATTGAGCTGCTCGAAGGAGAGAAGGTGCGACAGACGGCGTTCATCCAATCAGCCTATTCGCTGGTGAAGAACTACGGCTTCGATGGCTTGGATCTGGCATATCAGTTTCCGCGCAACAAGCCCCGAAAGGTGCACGGTGAACTGGGCTCGGTGTGGAAGAGCTTCAAGAAGCTCTTCACAGGCGATTTCATAGTTGACGAAAATGCGGCCCTGCACAAAGAGCAGTTCACAGCGTTCGTGCGTGATGTGAAGAACTCGCTGCGCAATGATGGATTTCTGCTCAGTTTGACGGTGCTGCCCAATGTCAACTCGACTTGTGAGTATCAAGAGTAATTTGTTAATGAAATTGCTTGAACATTCGATATTTTATAGGGTACTTCGATATACCTTCGTTAAACGGGCTCGCTGACTTTGTCAATTTGGCTGCATTTGACTTTCTAACACCCGCTCGCAATCCCGAAGAGGCGGATTATACTGCTCCACTCTACGAATTGACTGGGCAAAACCGTCTGCCACATTACAATGTCGATTTCCAGGTTAAATACTGGCTGCAACAAGGCTTCCCCGCCAGCAAGCTTAACTTAGGTGTGGCCAGCTATGGAAATGCCTGGAAGCTGTCGAGCGAGTCCGGCCTGGAAGGTACGCCTGTTGTGCCGCACACCGAGGGACCCAATCCGGAAGGCTTGCAATCCCAGAAGGCTGGCCTGCTTAGCTATCCAGAGATCTGCTCCAAGCTCTCCAATGCTCAGAATCAATATCTAAAGGGAAATGATTCGCCGTTGCGACGCGTGAGTGATCCATCGAAGCGTTATGGTGTCTACGCATACCGTGCCGTTGATGGCGCCGTAACTGAGGGTCTGTGGATTAGTTACGATGATCCCGATGCCGCTTCCAACAAAGCAGCCTATGTGCGTGCCAATAATCTGGGTGGCATAGCTCTGTTCGACCTAAGCTACGACGATTTTCGTGGACAGTGCACTAGTGACAAATACCCAATATTGCGATCCATTAAATATCGCTTGTAAATTTAACTGTACACATATATGAAGGCGTCATCACATAATAAACAGATGATGAATACTCTCAACTTGTCAGTTTGTTTTTATTTTTACTTCAGCTTAAACTAACTTTGCGACTCACTAACTAAATATTTTTATACATTTAAATAATCAACAAAATTTGTTGGCGCTTATCGCGAAACTCTTTATTATTTTTTATTATATTTTTTGAAAGCTTTCAGCTTGTGAGGCAAATATTAAGTTTTGTAAATTACCCGAACAGAGTGATCTCATTGAACCCAACGTCATATATTCATTTTTCACTGTACACACAACACAAACAATTCCAGAGAAATTTTTTGATAATATAGCGCCTATTGTTCGACCCACTCGGTCTACGGCAAAGCTCGCTTGGATGCGATTTCCGTTGTCATTTGAATTTAGTCGCGTCTTGTGTCTCGTTCCGTGCGGACGTATTTAATTGTGATCTGCCTCCCCCTGTCCACACATCTGTTGCTCTCGCCTTTGCTCTGTGCCGCTCTCCAACTCTACAACAATGCGCTCTCTGTGGCTCGGACTAGCAGCGTTGACTCTGCTGCTCTCAGAGCTGCCGTCGAACGCTGCGGCTGCTCCACATCTCATTTGCTATTACGACTCGGCTGGTTATGAGCGACAAGGTATGCATATACATACACTTATTAGAAGCTGCTCTCCACATATCGCTATCTTCGGGTTGCTCGCTCTCTCTCTCTCTGTTAGGCCTCGCTCAGTTCACACTCACCGATATGGAGCTGGCACTGCAGTTTTGCACTCACGTGATATATGGCTATGCTGGCATCAATCCAGACACCTATGAAATGAAAAGTCTAAATCAACCGCTCGACTTTGAGCGTCGTCATTTTGCCCAAATAACGGCACTTAAGGACAAATATCCATATATTAAATTTCTGTTAAGTGTAGGCGGTGATCGTGATCTGGAAGATGATAAATATGTTAGGCTGCTGGAGGCTGGCGCCCAGGCCCAAACACGCTTTATCAACTCGGCTAGAGATGTCGTCCGTCGCTTCAATTTCGATGGCCTGGATCTGGCCTTCCAGCTGCCACGCAATAAGCCGCGAAAGCATCACTCCGATGCCGGCATGGCCTGGAAAAGCTTTAAGAAGTTTTTCACCGGAGACTTCATTGTGGACCCCAATGCTGAAGCGCACAAGGGACAGATGACCAATTTGATAAAGGATCTGAATAGTGCACTGAAGGCCAACGATCTACTGCTCAGTCTTACGGTTCTACCCAACGTTAACTCCAGCTGTAAGTTTGTTAACAATCGCGATCAGTCGTTCGACCTGTAAAGACGTGAATTCGAACAGCCTTCGCTTAAGCTCTACTGCTGCAGAGTTCTAAAAATAGAACTTTGCGGTGCATTCTTCAACGCAACAGCAACAAAAACCGCACACGCAGCGTTTTCTTATCGCTTGCTTCCGCGTAACTCAATTGCTTTAATTGCAATTTACGAAATTTCGTCGCTTGGCGCGAGTGCGCCTGCACTCAAAAGCACAATCCGCGATGACATCTAATGTCAATAACCTCGCTACAGCTGTAAAGGTAAATGCAGAAATGCAAGCCCAGCTTAACGTTGTGATGGCAAATAGGCAAGCCTCCATCATGCCAATAAACTCAAAAATAGATATCGCCTCCGTGCAAGGCATCACTAACAACAAAAACACGAAACGTAAACAGCCAAATTCACCAAAAACCATCAAGAAAAGGCTCATCTTCGACGAACCAAGCACCAGCAATGCAGCATTAATATCAGAAAATCGATTTTCACTGCTCGTAGAAGAAGATGAAGACTACAGCGAATCACCTGTAGCTCCAGAAGCCCCAGTATTGACCGACCAGCAAACTACACCGAAACCTCGTCCGCCCCCCATATGGTGTCCAAACATCAAGTCTGTGGCCCTACTTCAACAGATAATAGATAAAGTAATTGATGCTAAATCATACGTAATTAAGCCAAAGAAGAATAACATAGGTGTATTAACCCAATGCAGTGAGGACTATCGCAGAGTTATAGACCACTTTACTAAGCTGGAATTGGAGTTCCACTGCTACCAGCTTAAGGAGGACAAACCATATAGAGTCGTGTTCAAAGGGCTTCACTCCAGCACTGATACAACACTAATTAAAAAGGAATTGGAAACCAAAGGCCACACAATTACAAATGTGCACAACCCACTGAGCCGTATGGACAAAACACCGCTAAATATATTTTTTGTTGACGTGGCTCAGGCCCCCAACAACAAAGAAATTTTGGACATTCGAGTTGTCTGCAGGCAACGCTGCACAGTGGAACTGCCAAGAAGATACAACGACCTGACACAATGCCATCGCTGTCAAGAATTTGGACACACACAACGCTACTGCCACAAAGCTCCCAGATGTGTGCGTTGCGCCGGGAAACACGCATCCAAAGACTGCACCCGCGAAAAGGACCAGGCACCAACTTGTGTGCACTGTGAGTTACAGCACCCAGCCAACTATAAGGGCTGCCAAGTATACAAGCGGTTGCGCAAATTGCAATCCCCAGCACAAAAAAGGAGTCCCACACAAACACCGTCTACGGGTCCGAGTACTGCTTCCGAAATTACAAGGCCCCGGAGCATTACCCAAGCCACGAGCTTTGCAACGCCTATTAGTGGTGTTTCTTACGCACAGGCCGCTAGAGGTGGACCGTCAAATAAGAATACCACAAGTGACACTTTGTTCACTGAAATGCTTCAGCAACAACAACGTCAGTTTGACGCAATTAATGCCGAGCTCAAAGCGATGCGAGAAGTACAATCCCAACAAGCAACCATGCTAAACAGTTTAATGGCCATCATAACCAAGCTTGCCTACAAATAATGGCTTTACGTGTGGGTATCTGGAACGCCAATGGCCTGAGAAACAAGACTCAGGAACTGGCTGCGTTTCTCTCACAAGAAAACATAGATATAATGTTAATAACAGAAACTCATGAGTGCCCCACTACACAAATTTTCGGATACGAACACTATCAGGCTCATGGTGAAGGAGCAAACTGCTTTGGTGGATCCTCAATCCTCATACGAGCAACAATACCGCATACACCTTTACTGCCAATTTGCAACGCAACAATGCAGGTCTCAGCCATCACCCTGCCTACGTCTATTGGAGCGATCGAAGTTGCGTCAATTTATCTTCCGCCAAACACTGGTCTGTGTGATCATCACATGGAACAGGTTCTAGGCCAAAGGTTGAATAAGACCCTCATCGGCGGCGACTGGAATGGATGGCACCCATTTTGGGGAAGCAATAGTGCGAATCGTCGCGGAGAAGTCATATTTGAGGCGATTCAAAACTTACAATTCAGCATATTGGCGACTGGAGCCCCCACCCGTTACCCAATTAATGGACACAGGCCCTCGGCAATCGACTTCGCTGTCTACAAAGGCATCTGTGACCGGCAATTGACCATTGAAGAATCCTTGGACCTATCCTCTGACCACCTGCCACTAATAGTCACAATCCACGCGCAGCCACAGCCCTTGCCCATTAGGAAACAACTACTGCCAGCAGGATCAGATTTAGGAGTCTTTAGGCGCGAGCTCCATTACTCTTTGCACATAGAAATGGAACTTAACACTCCTGAAGACGTGGACTACGCAGCAAACAAACTGCAGGAAGAAATAGTCAAAGCTGCGCACCAAGCCGCCCCACCATCTTGCCAAACAAGACAACAGTCTCCGTACAACATCCCCCTCACCTTGGAGGCCCAACACCTACTAATACACAAAAGATGGGCCAGGAGACGCTGGTTAAGATTACGCACGCCTGATGCCAAATCCATGTACAACGAAGCCACGAGGCATCTTAAAGCTGCTCTCGCCCTGCTTCAAAAGAGGTGTATCAGCGATGCGCTGGTACGAGCTGAATCGCCCACTGACGCAGAGTTTCAATTATGGAAATTTACAAGAAAGCTCAAACGGCAGCCAATACGACGTCATCCCATTCGGAGCATTTCTGGTTCCTGGCACATTGGAGACGAAGCTCAAGCTGAGGCTTTTGCAAACCACCTTCAAGACCAATTCACGCCGGTGATTACCGCAGAGGCCTCAGAAATCGAAGCAACAGAAGACATCGTTCTCTCGCCCCTCCCAGCTGAAGACCAGATAACTGGATGTACAAAAGAAGAGGTTCTTGAACACATCAGAAGAGTGAAGGCAAAAAAATCCCCTGGATATGATCTAATAAACGGCAGAGTCCTTAGAGCACTGCCTGACTCCACCATAGACTACATAACTATGGTGTACAACGCCATGCTCCGCATCCGGCACTTTCCAGCCTGCTGGAAGCGCGCCGTGATTGTGATGATTCCTAAGCCTGGCAAACCCGTGGGAGAAATTGAGTCGTACAGACCAATTAGCCTGTTGCCAGTACTCTCCAAAATATTCGAAAGAATATTTCTGGAACGAGTACTGACACATCTGGGACGCCAGGAGGCCATTCCAAACCATCAGTTTGGCTTCAGGAGACAGCATGGAACACCGGAACAGGTTCACAGAGTTGTGCACCATATCCTTGGAGCCTTTGAAGAAAAGATGTACTGCTCTGCCGTCTTTTTAGACATCAAACAGGCGTTTGATCGAGTTTGGCACCTGGGACTGCTGCAGAAAGTGAGGACCACCCTTCCAGCCCCATTTTTCGCGTTGCTATCCTCATACCTTATTGGAAGAACCTTCCAAGTGTCAAGGGGGCAAACAGTATCCTTGACTAGACCAATTATGGCTGGAGTACCACAGGGTAGTGTTCTAGGCCCAACACTTTATACTTTATTCACAGGAGATATGCCAACTCCCGAGCCAAATATAGGAAGTACAGATGCAGTACTCATAGCGACCTATGCAGATGACACCGCCATCTTATCACGTCACGTATCTGCGCAAGAAGCTTCAGACTCACTACAAAAATATCTGGACTCTTTCGGACGCTGGGCAAAACGGTGGTGTATCACCATTAATGCACAAAAGTCTGTACATACTACCTTCGCCAC